TATTTGTACATATTCTGGGTGCTGCCCGACACAGCTAGAGCTACGCAGACAGCTGTAGCTCCCCTGGTTCACACTTGTCAACAAATGGGACAAATAAGGGTAGCCGAATATGTGCGATGGACTGTGAAATTCCCTCCTATTCCGCCTTGCAACAGGAGGAGGCGAGCATGGTATGACACCGTGCTAGGAGGAACTGGAACTTTGTATGGTCTGGCTAACACAGCAGACAATGAGGTAACACGAACTATGCTGTCCAACACTGGAGAATACACCGCACAAGCTGTCACCAAGACTGCAAGATGGATGCCTTCGACTGTATCTAGTCAGTTAGAAGGAAGTGATGTGTGGAAAAGTGTATTTAAATGGAATCTAAAGCTTTGGAATGAAACTTATGATGCATTGCATAATTTGTCACACATAGGTAATTGGACAGTCTGTTCCTTGCAGACTATTCATGCTGAGACACAAAGAAATAGGTTTCAAATACAGGTAATGAGTAATAACTATCATGCATGGCGAACATTATGGAACATCAGTAGTTCATTATGGCTACAGCCACATGCAGAAATGACGATTTGTAATAAATCTATGTGTACTGGATACTGGGATCAGTATAATATGACATCAGTAATGACTGTGTGTAGATATCAGATACTGCCGGTGATAACCACTAAAGGGTTTTGGTATCTCCATGTTAGTGGAGAGTGGTGGGATGTTAAAACAAATCGAACATATGAAGTAAAACACTGTGATGAGACTGATAAGGGTTTAGCCTGCCCATTGGTAAAAGGACATAGCAATCCATGTTTCACTGATTCAAGGGTCGTACTCTGTGATTGGACGGTCACACCCCCAGAGGAACAGTTTTGGCAGGTGGGTCCTAACACCTTATGCGTGGCTACAATGACCAATTCCCCACAGGTACCTTCAGTTCCCTTTTCAGGTTGTCTCAAGGGTATACATATGTGGGAATGGAATAACGTGACCTATTGGTTGAGTAATTACACTGTATCTAGTCGGCTGACTAAGATACAATGGGAGGTTTTACACTCCCCTTTGACACTCTCACTGGAACGATTCAAATGCGCATTGGATGGTTCCACTGAAGTGGCAAAATTGATTGACTCCCATAGGTCCAACCTTTCCAGGCTCATGGTGTCTACTCTTGTGGCACAAGGGGAAATAAAACATGTTGCTACATTGATTGAACAGGCTTCCGCTCATCATTGGTGGGATATATTTACAGGCATGTCGAGTACCGCTAATAAAGTGCTAATTCCACCTATGATTGCAGCATTAATTATAATCAGCATTCTAACATTGTGTAATCTTATTATTTGTTGGTATGTTATTCGATTAAGAAGAGAAATAAATTGGGTAATAATGCAAAGACTACGATGAAAATTAAAGTGGAACTACAAGGTATGTTATAAATGACGTTGGTTTTGATGGGGAAATGGTGATGGATCCATGATGTTACATAAATTAGATGAAAAGTTCAAGAGTGGAATGTAATAAAAATGAACTTGTCATCTGTTGTATAATTGCTTTATATAAGTTATTGATCACTACTGTTTGTCAATCACACCTATCATGAGGATGTAATCAAGGGTAATCATGGTAGAGCCGAACATAATGTGATCATGAGGATGTAATCAAGGGTAATCATGGTGGAGGTGTGCAGCTTTGCACGCACATCAGTGGATGTATAAGGAGCAGAGCAGAGCTCAGGTGGTTAGAGCTGCTTGAAGGATTCTACCTGACGAGGTTCATGGATTACATGTGTTCAGTTCTTCACCTATCATGGATTACGTTTTCTAACTGGGGTGTTCAGCTCTCCACCCATAAGCAACGGTAAGAGAAATGTTTTGTTCATGATTGATAACTTGTATAAATGCCGGTTGAATAAAGCCTTGTTGTTCATCTGATATTCAAGTTGTGTTTCATTGTTTCTGGCGTCGACTTGACAACGATCCTGATTAAATAAATATAAAGTCTAAAAAGAGACTTTGAGTCTTTTAAGGTAATTAAAATAAAATAAAACATTTTATTGTAGAACAATCACATTCGTCTTATTTAACTTATCTTGTTTTTAATTTGTTTAGAAAATAAATTTCTTACTTTTTATAAACCTGACTTTGTCTGAATTAATACGAAGTGTGTTTGATCACTGAAAAAGCAAAGAATCCAAGAATCTTCTGATTAAACATTTAAAGACCAATAAAGTTCATATCCTATATTTATATAGAGTATCACATCTTATTGGTCATAAGTAAAGGTAATATATCAAGCTTAAAAGCAACAATATTTACTCCTTCTACAGCGAGAATGGATGAATGATACTCTGTAGTGTAAAGCGCTTTGGAGTCCTTACTCTGACAAGTGCGGGTCATTTCATCATTTGTCATGTTTTAGTCACCAAGAGCTGTTTTTACCTTGTCAGCGTCTCGTTTTTGTTATGAGAAAAAGGGGCGTCAACAAAATAATTTAGTCATTGTCATTGTTGACGAAAACTCAACTCAATCTTTATTTCTAAAGTGTCTTTCAGGCACAGGGGTGACAACAAAGCGCTGTACAGACATATATCAGTGATTAATAAGACAAAGATTAAACAGAATAAAAAATAAGGTTAAAGATTAAAAACAGGAATGAAAACAAAAACAACATACAAATCACGATTAAAAAGAAACACAAGCAGACTAACACATCATCATGGTGTGACATGGTGTGACACATCATGGACGTTACAGCTGAGATGTGTTTATTAGTTAGTAATGCATTTGATCTTTTTCTGTATATTGCAGCTATGGTGATAAAATCAGGGGTGCCTCCAGAAAATTTGATAGGGGTGGCCAGATGGTGCCAAAGAAATATTTGGGGTGGCACACCAAATTGGTCCTTGTGGGTAATGTTGGGAGAGTTTAGTCTGTGGCGATGTATTGCATCGCTCCTTTATTAATTTTTATTTCTAAAAAAATATTGTGTATCCAAAACATTTAACTTACATTTTACAAACACAAACATTTCAGAAAAATACACTTCAGTTATTTAAAATGTTATTTTAAATTTTATTTTAAAATGTATTTTTTTTAGTTTAATTAATCTGTTGCTGTGTTCACAAAAACTATAGAGATAAAACTTTTTCAAAAAGGTGATTAGCAGAAACATATGTAGTTTTTTTATATTCTGATTACTCATTAATTGTATAATTGTTATTTAGTTTTTTTTACAATTAGCTCTTTAATAAACAAGATCAATTTACGGTTTGAGTGAACATTAATATGATTTATTAAAATTAGCTTTTCCAAGGGGGGCCAGCAATTTCCTTGGGGTGGCCATGGCCACCCCTGGCCACCCCTGGCCACCCCTTGGGGGCGCCATTGGATAAAACATGTATAAAGATCTTCAGATACGAAAAGCAAGCCTTGTTTTTGCTTTAGTGATTGTTAGCTGTCTAGCTACATCTACGTGCTGTGAGGACAGCGTATTCACCACACCAGACAAAATTCTACTTCACAAATTGTGGCACATAAACTCTCAAAACCTTTACCTCAGATCTGTCATACTTTTACATTTTGAGAGGGAGGAGAATTAGCTGAAGAGTTAGATGGTAAATGGTAAAGGGTGCAGCGCCTTCTTAGTGTTCTATAATCCCCCAAGGTGCTTCACAACACAATCAGTCATTCACCCATTCATACGCTGGTGATGATGAGCTACGATGTAGCCACAGCTGCCCCGGGGTGCACTGACAGAGGTGAGGTCTGCTGAACACTGGCACTGGCAAGGTGGGTTAAGTGTCTTGCTCAAGGACACAACAGCAGCATTGCTCTATTTGAAAATTATCTTGGTCACAGAAGGGAAAATGAATGTAGTTTACTGTGCATAAACTTGTAAACTTGGTCCATTTTTCCTTTCTAGTTCAATTTAAGCATAATTATTGACCTAATGGATTACCTAATGCCAGGGTATGATAAACTGAAGTTAGTTTGTTGGTGGATTTTTTAAATATTCAAATATGGTAGCATTAGCCTGCCTTTAAACCTTTGGGCCCTACGTCTTTTTTGAAAAAGTTTCTCAAAAATGACAATTGTAATTTAATGAGTATATTTCTGTAACCATAAGCTCTCTTATTTTTAAGGCAACTATTGTGGGATTTATTGAGATGTATAAATATTAGTATATGTGTCACTGATGATGTGTAAATCAACATGGAACATTGCAAAAAAAAGTTTTTTTTTTAAATTATTTGCCGCCTGGATACATTTTGATTTCAGAGTGAATACCACTTTGGAAAATGGGAGCAGTAGCTTCAAACCTCAATGAATTAATATTTTTCACATCTTCAAATTAACTGTACAAAGTCTGAGTATGATAAAATGAAGAACAACAATTTTACACTTCAGAGAGGTCTTTGGCACCATCTGTGCTATTTGACTTTTCTTTTGTATAAAATGTTTTAAATATTTTGTGACTAGATGAATGACCTGTTCTCCAGGTCATCCCCCTCGACACAGCCAACAAGGGCAGAGTCATCAAAGGACTTCTGGAAGCGACAGATAGACAAGAAAAGGCACAATTCAAAACTTATAACAGGTATCCATATGAAAGATTTGAAACTATTAATTCTTCAACCAGCTGTTTTATATGTGGGGCCCAGTTGTGTACTGCAATTAGACATTAACATTTCTTAATTTAATGTGGTCATATTTGAAATACAAATTTAGTTATTCAAAATGGTAGTCAATAACATACAAAAATATATCGCCTCTTGACATTGTGCCCCATTTATTTTAATTTTTTAACTGTAGGTCTACATTTTCAGAAAACTCTTTCAGTGAGATGTAAAATAACTTGGTTTTACTCAGTTTCGATCGTTTCTTAATTCTTATATGTACAGTCTCTTATTAATAAAAAAATCTATGCGTTTCTGAAAATAATTTTACCGGGAGAAGCGGAGACAAAATCAAACACCCTTTTTAACTGATGACACAGTTTAGGAGCGACGCTTCTGATTGGACAAGCAAACAGGAAGCCACGTTGGTCAAGAGAAAGTAGCTTTGTGTGGCAATGTTAACAGGTCGCGAAATTATTCTGCTAAATTTACTTGACTTTAATGAAAATTTTTGTTTGCACGTATAGCAAAGATGGCTTGCTTCTTTAGAAGAAAAATTGCTGCGAAGGTAATGAGGCTGTGCGTTAGCAGCAAGATGCTACTATTGCTAACATGCCCTGTCCTTTTAAACAGCATGGACAAGGAGTAAACAGGATAAAATGTTTGCTTTGTTTCATGTCCAGCTGGCACGGACGCTACAGCAGTCTGAGGATGTGTTCATACCAAGTTTAACTGCAGTTCCCCCTCTCAAGAAACAGTAAAGCATTTTATTTTACTCGTACCAACCTGCTTTAATCATGAATGCCAGCTCCCAGGTGTGTTAATAGTTTCTGATCTGTTCTCAGGCAGAGTGGGGCTGACTTAAGGTTGTCACTCAGCACGTTACGAGTCGAAGGGATTTTACCCTCCAGTGGAGACATTCAGCTGCAGACAGAAAACTTAGCTGCTCAGGTAAGATTCACCATGTAAACAAAACGAACACATTATATAAAAAGTGTGTGCAGCTAGTTGGAAAAACTATTGAAATCATTTACAGAATGTGGTGCTACCATGGTATACAAATATCTCTAAAAAAACGCAGGACACACATGAAATATCAACAAACGGGGATTAAACTCTTAAAGGTGATTTGAAAAATGATTTTTGTCAGAGTTTGAAACAAAAGTTAATAGAAGTCCACAAAAACTATTTTTTTTACCACATTCAGATCAATTAAAGTTCAAAAAACTCATGATAAAACACAAAGTATTGTACATCATCAAACATAGTTTCTAATGTGTTTTTCAGTTGAAGCAGGACAGTGTGGTGGAAGACATTTCCACTGGACATGCAGTCATTAACTTTAAAGTTAATCGTGGTCTTCTAGCAGAGGTTTGTGTTCACATTTGCCACAATCACAGCTGATAAAGTGTCATCTTCTGCTCTGTTCATAATAGGGAGCCTAAGTCTACTTCCGCACCATGGGTCTCGGAAGAACGAAAAATGAATGCAAGTCAACGGGGCAAAAAACGCTATTTTCTAACTCGTTTTGCCTTACGCCCTCGTAGATCGCACATATGTTGTACTTCAATTTAAATGAAAAGTAATGATGGGTGTTTCGACCACGCCAGTCACGTACTTTGAGATTTATCAGCTTGTAAAAGTTTGTAATTAGCACGACTACACACCAGAAATCGGCACGTCGCATATGTGACATCACCACATCATCTCCTCTCCCCTAACGAAGCTGCTACTTACCAAATGACCTGATTTATGGTGATTCTTTCCTCCTGTGGGAAGTTTGCTGAACTTACAGCCGTTTTCCCTCAGTTTTCTATGTGTCTGGTTTGATGACGTCACTTTCGTGAAGCGCATTTGTAGTCCTGGACTTCTTTTCACACAAAACCTAAAATAGCGTTTTCCCCTGTTCAAAAATGGTATCAAAATGTGTCTTTAAAATTCACTAACATCATATGTGAAATCCATGTCACTAAACAAGCAGAATTAGAAAATAGCGTTTGTAGCCCCGTTGTCTTGCATTCATTTTTTCATTCTTCCGCAGACCCGTGGTGCAGAAGGGACTTACCCCGGGTTTCCACGGGAGCCGTCAGCAGCACGTTACTGCAGCAGCACGTCTTGCTCGCGTAAGCTGCTGCTTGGCCCTTCCCACGAGACGCGAAGCAGCAGGGGAGCAGCTGTCACCAACAGAGCACGAAGTCACACGAGTGACTTTGTCAGTAAACACAACAACAAGCAGGAGAAAATTACAACATGGTTTGTGTTTTATGTTCTGTCCGTTTTATAATCGCCAATACGGACCTGAAAAACAAAGGAGACCGCTAGCTAGGCGATAACTTCTCACGGGGACGCACAGTTAGTAACCTTTTTTAAAAGTAAAGCAACCGGAAGGCAGTACATTCTTTATTCTGAAAATCTTGGGAGCTTCTCTCCATTTCTGCGTCCGATTTCCTGTCTTTCCTTCCCCAAAAATGTCGAACTTGACCCGTTTCAGAGGCGTCGCGCGTAGAAAATAGAACCGGCGCGTAAAGGCCGCGACATGCTGCTCCTGAGACGCGGCCGACTCGCGCTGCTGACGGCTCCAGTGGAAAAGGTTCTGTTGACCACAGCGGTTCCTATCAGCAGCTATGACGTGCTGCTGCAGTAACGTGCTGCTGACGGCTCCTGTGGAAAGCCGGGGTTAGGCTCCCTATGTCTGTGCGTTTCCTGTTCCAGAAAGTTTTGGAACCCTTTGCGAAAGGAGACGATGACAATTTTGGGTTAAACAGTGAGCTTTTAAATTCTCTGCCGAGAGGGACGACGTTAGTGGAATATAGGTAAAGTTGATTGTTTGTGAGTTATCTACATATTAGTGCATTTATTGTCTTAAGAATGTTCCAATAGGCAACATTCATGTGTTTGTGTTATGCAGCTCTCCAAACATTGCAAAAAAGTTCCATGCTGGGCATCTGCGTTCCACAATAATTGGTGAGTTTAGGAGAAAATGCCACAGTGTGTTCACAGGTGTTGCAAACAAATTAAAGATGCTTTAATATAAATATATGAATTGTGGTTTGTAAACTTTACATTTTGCTCCAATCCTGTCTTCAGGTAACTTCATTGCCAACCTAAAACAATCTCTTGGAAACAATGTTATAAGAATGAACTACCTTGGAGACTGGGGAATGCAGTTTGGTGAGTTTGATGCCCAAAAGTTGTTGGACTTGCCCTCCTGGGGATAATTTATCTGACAAAATTGGTAATAATTGTTAAATTTTAGGTTTATTAGGAGCCGGGTTCAAACAGTTTGGATGTGTGGAAAAATTAAAAGACAATCCTTTACAGCATCTGTTTGAGGTGATAAAAAAAATCTGTTTTCATTCTATTGTGTGAAAATAATACAGCTGAATTAGTTCATTATTGATTTTTGGTCGTTGGGATTTTGAAAGTATTTGAGGTTTTTCTTTGGTTGCAGGTTTATGTTAAAGTGAATAAAGAAGTAGAGCACAGTGAAGATATGAAGCAAGCTGCAAGAGATTTTTTTAGACAACTGGAGCAGCACGAGAGCCAGGCTGTGACGTTATGGCAACAGTTCAGAGAGCTGACAGTGAAGGAGTATCAGCAGGTTTACAAGGTGCATTCTGAAATGTAGACCCGTTGTTAAAACACGTTGTGCTGGAATCTGGGACAGCTCCGTGCTTTAAACAGATGTTTTTTTTTTTTTTTTTTTTTATCTTTGCAGCGGTTAGGAGTCCACTTTGACATTTACAGCGGGGAATCGTTTCACCAAGACCAGGCTCAGGAGGTCGTTCAGGAGCTGCAGAGGCGAGGCCTGTTGAAAGTCTCAGAGTATGTTAGATAACTGATGTGATAAAAAAAACACACACAGCTGTAACTTGCTCAAAAGTTAGGTTTTAGAATTCAAGTCACACTCTTAGTCTGTTTTTGTTCAATAGTTTGTGCACACTTTAGAGATTTAATTGTTTTTGTTTTGTAGTTGATTATAGCATTACGTTAAGGAATTGAGAGCACTACTTGATGATTCAAGTCATTCTTCAGATTTAATTAATATTTGTTGCAAAGTCTTATCTATCTTGTTGCAAAGTCTTATCTATCATCTATCCTTCCTTCCTTGCTATTGAAGTCAAGAATTTTGTCAAAGCCACCTAGTGGTCACTTAATTTATTACACACAAGATCACTCGCAAATCCTAGTTTTTCTTTTTTTTAAACACCAATTAAATGGATACAATTGATAATTCAGGTACTAAATACCATCATCAGAAATTTTAAAATAATTAATGCAGCTGTCCTAGGGAACCAAAATATTCTTGTCGATCTTTCCCTGCAAACAGTCAAACTCACATGGGCGTGCAGATCACGTCTATATTGAGTCGGTCTAGACCACATGGGTTAGGCTAACCTCAAGGGATGCATTTGATTATAGTAAATTAAACCTGGAAACCTCAACTTGCTTTGGCTGTTGGATTATTGTTCGTCTTGTTTGTTGTTGACAGGAGGGGTACAAGAGTAGTTGATCTCTCCCCAGAAGGAGACATGACCAACGTTTGTACGTTACTCCGCAGTGACGGCACAACTCTCTACATCACCAGGTCAGCGCACACTTAGTGCAAGTCTCACTTCTGGTTGAAAGCATTTGTGGCTTTAAATGGGTTTCTGTGTGACAGAGACATCGCTGCTGCCATCAGCCGGAGGGAAACGCACGGTTTTGATGAGATGATTTATGTGGTAAGAACAGCAGCTAAATCTGTTCCAAACCTACAGAAAACATGAGTAAGAGAATTAAAGTCAACTAGTTTATCAGCATATTTCCAAGGTAAATTAAATGAGTTGGAGCTTGTCATTTAATTCTGTTGCCACATTTTGGATTATTACTGGAAAAAGGTCAGATTAAAATGTTTTTTTTTCCCCCAGACTGACAAAAGCCAAGAAAATCACTTCAGCCAGTTGTTCCAGATCCTCGTCACTATGGGACACTCTTGGGCTGAAAGGTAGCACTCATTTGTTTTTTGGACTTGTGTGTTTTAGTAACTTCTAGGGCTGGGTTAAAATCAATATATTGAGGATTTCACCTCAGTAACGATAAACGACGAGAACTACAGGTATGCGCAGAAACAAGTCGTCCACTAGATGGGGCTGTCACATTTTATTACGTTGAGTCACATTTTTATGTGACTCATGGTGGTGGTTCAGCTTCTTAAAGGGACAAATGTTGCCAACCTACACACATTTTTTCATTTTTGTATCATCAAATTTGTTGACATGGGAAAAATTCTCGATAAGTCAGAAATTTTGATAACGAGAAATTTTTGATTTATTGCCCAGCCCTAGTATGTTGTTTGCCTGTTGACCTTAAAGGTAATAATTTCAACATGTGAAGGTCTGTTTTACGAATTAAATTGTGTCCAAGTTAGTTTTCATTTATTTATTCAGTGAAGTAACTTTTTGTTTACTTTCATGGTTTCTGTTACAATCCTTTGCAGCCTAGTGTCTAACTCTTTAAAGCCTGAGATATGAGACGATTAAAATTAGTCTTTTGAGATTTTAAAACATAGTTAAAGGTGTGGTTCACTGAAAAACCATTTTTAATGATTATTTCTGATTATAACTGGTCAGTTTTTCACGCAGGCTGAACGGTGAAACTCTTGATTAGAAAATCCTGACAGATCTGCTTCACACTGTCACTTAACATTCATGGACTCACCCATCTTGACTCACAACGGGAAAGGCTGTTGTTGGTTTAGCGTCCAGGAAACGGCAGAAGCTAACTGTTAGCATTAGCAACTTCATCACACAGCAGAACTCCTCCAGGCTTGTAGATAAAACATCCGCGTCGCAAATCAGTGATAGTTGCGTTGCGGTTATCCAATCTGAGGTAAGATGTCCAAATAACAGGAAATAAGATTTTGAATCCGGCCGTGTTGTGCCATCCCCTACTGAAGCAGATGCTTCTGGGCTTTTTTTGCCCCGTGTACGGCTTGCAAGGCATTTATTCCTACCGGAGATCATTGCAAATGTATTGATTAAACAAGTGTTCCACACCTTTAAGTTAAATGCTTTATTTCCTTCAATAACAAAATTCTGCCCATAAATTATTTTATCATTACTGTTTATATATTTTAGAAACAAGGTTTTGTCAGTGGTATGATGGAAGCTGAGCCTTTAAGCTGTCTTTTTCTGGTAGTTTACTGTAACCAGACATAATTTATATTTGCAGGTGTCGGCACGTGTCCTTTGGTCTGGTGCAGGGCATGAAGACTAGAACCGGTGACGTGGTGTTTCTGGAGGACGTGCTGGATGAAGCTCGGGCTAGGATGCTCCACAACATGAACCAAACCAGCAGTAACGTCTGACATTCATTCACCTTTTAGCTTCAGGGCCAAACCTCTACTGTCCCAGTACTAAATATTTACCTGAGCACCATCTATTTTTCAGGCAAACGGTGTGTGCTGGGGAAGTGTGGCGACAGCTGTGCTCCAGATCTCTACATGTTTTGATTGGCCTGAAAAAGACGCAAAACTATAGCCTAGTGAACTAGACCAAATTCTTGCTTGGCAAAGAATGAAATAAATAATACATTTATTTAGTTTGGCTTGCCAGGCTAGCAAAACTATACACAAATACTCCAATTTAATGCAGGAATAAACGGAACGTTTTTGTCTAGGCTGACTTTACAGTATTAATTTCACCTTATTGCATCGGAAAGCAAACATACACGGTGCTGATGTCCTGTTAACTTGTTTTGAGCCATTTAAATCTGACTTCCTTGAAGTAAAGCAGTTAGGTTTATTCTGGGAGTGGCACATTGGGAATTCCTTTATTGAAATTCCTGTGGTTTCCACAGCGGTGCAAACCAATGTGAGGATTCCAGAATGTCGACACCAATACCATCCATCACATACTCTTCATAATGAATCTAGTAAATGTTAAGATACTGAGAATGACAGAAGTCACACCGTGTTTCTACAGCTTCAAAGGAACTGGAAAACCCAGAGGACACAGCAGAGAGGGTAGGAATCAGCGCGCTAATAGTCCAGGTGAGTCCTTGCAGCTAAATATCGGATCGAACCGAACCACTACACGTGATGATGGATGAAATGAGTTTGTTTCAGGACTTTAAAGGTCCCCTGCAGGGAGATTATAAGTTTGACTGGGACCGGATGCTGCAGGCCCGGGGCGACACTGGCGTCTTCCTACAATACACACACGCTCGACTCTGCAGGTCAGCATCACTCATAACTTAACCCAACAGGATGTACAACACGTGTGTTATGATGTCAACTTTAATGTCACGGTAGTTTGATAAGGAGGAATGAAGGTGCGGAGGCTGGAACGTTCAACCCTTCCCTTCTACAGGAGCAGACCAGCATCAACATTCTGCAGCAACTTCTCCGGTAAGGACACGACTCAAAGCCACAATCTAAGTTTTCATATGAATAGTTACTTAACCATCCCCATTTGTTTGTAGTTATGATGAAATTCTGCATCAGTCTTCCAAAGATCTGCAGCCCAGACACCTTGTCACGTTCCTACTGAAACTCTGGTGAGAAGCAGGATGTTAGACTAGAGGGTTTGGTCTCACGCAGCTCATGTTTAAAGTTTGTCTGGATGTTGAGATAACAGTGTTTGTTTTGTGGTGTCTTACAGCCACTTTGTTGCTTCAGCTCACACAGAGCTCCCAGTGGCCGGAAGTCCTCAAGATGTTGCGCAGGTAGTCACGTCACCCTCATGCACATTCCTATTAAAGGCTTTAAACTGCACAGCCAATCAAAATCATTTTATTATGAATCAACAGGCAAGGTTACGACTGTTCAGGGCGGCCCGCTCAGTCCTGGCCAACGGGATGAAGATTCTGGGCATCACCCCGGTTCCTAAAATGTAAACTTATAATCGTAAACAGTGGCAAATGTGAACACAAACCTCTGCTCGAACAAGACACAACTTTTTTTGGGGATTAAACAAGATTTTTTTCCTAACGTTGTTGGCATTTTTCAGAGAGAAATAAAAAAAAAAAACCCGACCAGAGCGGAGGCAGTGACCAACGCATGCCGTTTTCAGCTCTGTCTTGTCAAAAGCACCACGTACGTTACGAAAAAGTAACTTTAAATATTCAACCGAAAAAGAGGCGAGCTGATGAAAACCTAAGGAGTACCGAAGAAATGTGAGCAACAGTGAAGCAAACAGATCCGTTACTGTGTGTGGGGCGGATCAGTTTTGTGTGTAGGGAGGGGCGGGCACTCCATGTGACTGGCCAATCACAGAGCGTGAGGGCAGTCCGTTACCTAATGAGGATTTTTCCTCAGCACGATTAGATATTTACGAGTTTTACTCGTTTCATGCTTATTCGTCAAAAATGCTTTATCCACGGTTCATCCCTAGCTGTAACCACCCTGCCTTGCCTCCTCCTCCTTGCTGCCTGCCAGCTGCGATCACAAGCAACAGCCGAGTAGTTCCCGCTGCTTCGTTGGGAAACAGCGCAAAAAAAAAAAAAATCAGGGATTTCAGCCATGGCGGGCCACCACGGCTACGCCTATGTAAGGGAAACACTGGTAAATACTGTTTGGAGCTCATAAGTACTTTATACACAGCCTTGTATTTTCTAAATAAAACAGTCTTAAGTGTAAAATCAAAGTTAAACATGCGTTTTCTATCCGGCATGTTTGATTTAGTAAAATAACACTGAAATCACAAAACGGCATGTGGTAAAAATAAAGTTGCGTTCATGCCAGACACGTTGGATGGATACTTGTAAAAACTTCAGATACTTTTCCTTCACTGAAAGACCTGCAAAATTACCTTAAATTACCTCATAATTTACTGTGTTGTTTCACATCCCCATCGTCTTATCTTACACTAGTAGGACGGGGGAAGGATCGAACAGGAAGTTGGCCCAACTTAGTGCTTCCCTGGAAAACATGTCTGTATTCTGCTCCCGTTCATGGAGTCCTGCAGCTTTTCCAAAAGCACGAGACCTGCTCCCACTGCTCGACTCGTTTTTCCCACGAGTTTATGATTCACACGTTGATCAACTTCTGTCTGGATTCTGCATCTGTGTCTCTGTCCTGCCGGCTCAGTCTGGATGTGTCTTGCTTTGGAAGTCCGTACAGATAAATGGAAACGCAGACGAGGATTGCACCAGAAGCAAATGTGATTGCTGAACAAAAGAAGGTTGGAGAGAGAATATTTTTACCTCTGAAAATAGAAACTGCACTCTGTTTTCTGACTTTGTAGGAAATTTAAGTGAACAAGACATGACCTCAGCTGCAGGGAAAAAAAAACTTACTTATCTGGAGTCCAAATAATACGACGGAAGCGACTGTTGAAAGCACAATAGCTGCTGCTGCAGAGAAGCCCTTCATGATGTTGTCGGTGTACTTCACCACCACCGACGTGTAAAGACCACCAACACTGGCCAGAACTGAAAGTACAGAAAGCCCGATTAGTCAAAATGTGACTAAACACTAGAAAACTCCGGTTTTGTCCTACTTACACACTATGAAACACACCCATGGAGTATAACCATAGAAGAAGCCCTTCTCCTGGATTTTGTCCCCATCATTCATGTAAACGCCAAGCAGAGTGACCACAATGCCAGACAGGTACATCTGGATGTTCCTCACCCACAGAGATGTATCCGAGCTCTTCAACACCTTCTCGAAGTACACGCCTCATTAAAAAAAGACAAAACTATTTCAACTCATTCACTGTCATTGAAGACAAAAGTCGTCATTTTAAATCCAACCGTTCACTGCCTGTTTTTACTGTGTGGGCGTTCGAACGAGTCCCAGCACGTCACACGTCACATGATCAGGAAGCAGAAAATCCATGCGTTAAGAGATCGTTTTGGGCCGCTGCTGTAAAAAAAAAAAGTAAGGCGCGAACCGGAAAGCTTCTGCCGATCACAATTTGACAACAGATTATGAAAGAATGGATAACGCTCGAAACGCGTGGATTCTTCCTGATGTAAGAGGTGAGTCTACTCTTCGTTTTGGCGTCGACATCCTAGCGCGCAACGTTCTGTGACTCTTGTAAAAACACTGGCAGCGAAGGGCTTTTCTGATCAGGAAACGGCTGGGGGTTAACAAGTTAAACACTAACAGCCTGAGAATCTGGTTTTATCTTAACCAAGGTTTCCTTTTCAACACTGGACGGAGAATTACCTGCAAATCCCGAACAGAGGACAGCAACAGCAATGGCAACGAATCCGGCTACAGGATTCTGCTCAACCTGGGGAAAAAGGGACAAATGAGCTGCTGAATGAACAGAAACCGGAGAAACTTAAAGGACCCCTCTTGTACCTGGACTTCAGTGACCTCTGCAGGCTTCCACTGGACGAGTGCAACTCCACCACAGAGCATGAAGACTGAGAACCACTGCAGACGGTTGAGAGTGCGGTGCAGCATGAGCACTGTGCACAGGGCCGTGCACGGGATCTTCAGCTGATAGGTCACCTAAACGAGTAGTTTACGTTAAAGCTGCAAAAGTGGATCAAATTGCAGCTTTCGACCAATTTGTTTATGAGTTTGACATGCAACACAAGATTTTTTAATTTTAAAACTTTCTTGTTCAGAACGCCAATCATACCTGATAAACTGCAGCATCAAGGTTACTCAGAGCCACAAAGGCCATGTTGTTTTGTACTGCATACACTACAGAGGGCACGCTCAGCTTCAGCAGCTCTTTAGGACTGGAGAAGATGTGTTCCACTATCGTGTTCTTTAGCCTGACCACGCTACCCGATTCTCTGGAGACAGAAAAGGGCAACGGCAAGAAACTGAGTTACATAATTGGTCCCCACATAAGTCATGTCATTATTGCTCATGAAACAAATTTGTACGTAGCAAAGACAAACACAGCGAACCAGTTCGGCTGCTCTCCAACCTTTACTGTTCAAAGACAAATATGTGCTGAAACGGTCAACATAAATGAATAAAACATACTCAAGAATTTTTTTAATCAATTCACTTTTCTCATTTTAATTATTGCTTCTGACTGAATATAAACAAATATTTTTTACTTAATTCTGATCAAAAACACAAATGAAGTCTGAAAGCTAGAATATAAAAAATACATTCTGGATATAAGATTATTGTAAGTAACTGAATTTATTTAGTTAAAAAAACAATCTGGAGTAAGGTAAAAAATAATCTCTAGGAAGATTTTGCTGGCACGGTTTGAGTAACGTGACTGACAGTCTGAGTTCATCCTAAAAATTTCTCACCCTGCGTGACTGACATGTTTGCATACTTCCACATACCTGTAAGAAAGAAACCATCACCTTGAGAGCTTGTTTCTCAGGTTCTGTGGAAGCTTATTTTTAATCTCGCCAATTAAATTTGTGCGATGGAGAAGGGAAACAGCTAAAACATACATGACAGTTTGTCTTGAGATCCAGTGTTAGAAAATATTTGGCACCACTCTGCAGACCAAAAACCACACCTAACATATTTGTTGAGTGGGTAGGTGCCTTATAGTGGGCGCTCTTTACCTGCTTAACGGCTGTTAGCTGTAATGCTAGCAGTTAGCATTTTCAGTTTACCGATCCATCAATAAATAGCAAAAGAAAAAAGAAAATGTTTGCTTTTCTGTTGGCATCATGGTGGAGAAGCAAAAGTAAAGCCTGCCACACACGAGAGCAAACGGCCTTGAATGACGTTTGCTCAGCAGATTCCTGCTGTGTGTGCCTGATTTTCACTGAGTTTTCTGCCTCAAGACGCTGAGGTGAATATCTGACTGGTTTACGTTTACATGCGCCAAATTTCCCCCATCTGATTCAAATCTTGGTTGATCATATCCGCACGTCTTTCCTCTCACATTTATTTTCTTATTCTCTAGCTTTGTCCGTTAACTTACGTTTTTTTCCCCGTTATGGTTGGGGATGCATGTTCTCCATAATGTCTTTTAAAGAGCAAGTCACCTCCAAATCAACTTTTTTTCTGATAAACTATAAATGTGTGTCTAATCGTGCTGCAGACAAGTGTAGTCAATAGTTTTGCACTTTTAGTGCATTTTAGTTAAAATTTCTGCCTAAAACTATCAGTGTTGTGCCGTTGTCAGGTAAAAACTCTGCACTGCATTTGAATTTAAATCTGTCATCGCTATTGGCTAAGAGGTACCCTAGAATGTTAGCTGGTACAATATGATGTCACAATGTCGTTGTGAGCCTGTGTGTGTGTGTGTATTTGTTAGTGGCTCCACCCTTTCGGTCTGGGCAGAAACGGTATCTATCTATCTATCTATCTATCTATCTATCTATCTATCTATCTATCTATCTATCTATCTATCTATCTCAGAAGGAATACACAAAAGATATCCGCTGAATCATGCTTTTTGAACCGTCATGGTTTCCGTAGTCTCCCTGTGCACAAGTAGAACGTGCTAGTAATGTGTGTGAACGAGCTAACGTTAAGCAGGGTTGTCTTTTTGCCGCCTGCGTGGAGCAAAGCAGCACTTTTGACGTGAGAACAGAGCTGTAGGGGGAAACAGTATTTGAAGGAGGAGCGCGATTTGATGGTACACGTCTGGCATCAAATACAAAGCGCTGTTTGTATGCATATTCTGGAGGCCACGGTTAAAAACACTTTTCTTACACTGAGCTAAATAATTACACTGACAATTCTTTGTCGACAAATTAGCAGTCAGACGCAAACAGGAGTGTCACGACACACTGACCTTTTGCTGATCTCGGTTCAGTTTGCTGCACCACGTTCTGCCAGGTTCAGCGCTTTGATGCGATGCTTATTGTGTTCCAAGAATTAAATAACTAAGAATGAATGGCTCCAAAGCTGGCTCTTTGCTAACTGATTAGTGTTTGAGCACGTGTTTGGTCATTTGACAGCTCATTTCTTCTTCTGCGGTTGCCCAGTAAACAAATTATGATAGCGGCACTCTTGCGCCCTCTAGTGGCACAACTATATAACACCAAGTGCAGCAGAAGGACCTGAAGCAAGGGTGGAAAAACCCATTTTACCCGGTTATAACGTTTATGGCAATTAACCTGTAAACTGTACATCCCTAGTTATGGACCTTCTCTGCATTTTTACCTGCATGCTTTTGTTTTCACTGATAGCTTTAACTAAGCTACAGCCTCAGCGGTATGCAACGCTACTGCTCCTCCGCCACAGGAGAGGAAAGCAGGATAACTTCTGTTTACCTCCTGTCGTGTTTTCGACTTGTCTTGAGCGGCTGCAACGGCAGAAAGATATCGCGCCGAAGTTTCACACATGAGCAGTGGGCATTGTTTTACTCCAAGAATCCGAATGAGTGTACATAGATGTCAATCGGAATGATGATCGGACAAAACTACATCCCTCAATCAAAAAAGTTTAACTCAAAAAAGAATTTCACTCCGATCGGGCCGTAGCGGATCTGAATATTCTCATTGACATGTTTACATGAAGAATTTTTGATCTCATTCCGATTACTTGTGCCCATGTAAACGTATCTAGTGTTACTTTAACACCTGGGCTTTCTAGAAAGTCACATTTGTGAGGTGGAGCAAACACAAACTTTCTTTATAAAATCACATCCGCTTCCTGTATCAAAAGAGGTTGCCTTAACTTAAATGATTACAATTTCATCAGTGTAAACTGATGTCAGCCCTTTGAAAAACTTTTATTCAATGTAACTTATAAAATCAACCCCAAGCCTTGGTATATTCATCATGCTTGGGTAAGCAGAGATTTCACTGAAGCACAAACTATTTGAGAGCTATTAGGTGAGAACTAGAAAGCCGAACTAGAAGGTCACCTTTTGAGGACTGTAAATTATACTCAAACTCCTTCATGTACTCCAAACAACACATGAACAGGATCCTGAAATTAAACTGTCAAAACACACAAATCAAATTGTGGGCAGATTCCTTTACCCATGGCATGGAAAGACGATTACAAAAGTTATTTACAATTAAAGCAATATCGTTTTGAGATCAAACAAATCCTAATCCTATAATAACGTTATGTGGTATGGTATCTACTCTGTCACAGGGGACAAATGTATTTTATATTAGTGTTTTGCATAAATTCACGTTGACTTATGCCGTGACCGTGCTGTTTAATCACATAAATTTAATTAAATCTTCCATTAAATGTGATTAACTTACTTTGCTAGCATCCCCAGGCTTATTACCAGTTTAACGACCTCTGCGAGGCACACTGCGGTGGTTGAAAAGTACAGGTCTCCTGATGAAATGGTCCGTGTGTACCGTAACGCCACCGTGTACGTAGCAGCCACCAGTGTCATCACAGTCAGGCAGTACAGTTTAAAGACCAAACTCACGTTTTCTGAGGAAATACGAAGAAAATGTACATAATTACACCCAGCTATTTCCCATTAAAACGTTTACCTGTCAGTCGAAAGAATGTGTTTTATGACAAGTTTAAAGAAAGTCATGAATTATTCCCATATTTAATCAATTATAGCATTACTAAACGTTCACTGTTGTTATTTCTGCACTAAACCCGCTGCGAGAGCTAGCATTAGCCAGTGGCGCTAGCATGTGTTCACCAGAAAAATAAAGAAAAGAGGCTCACCGCCACCCATCTTTGCTCTCTTCGGTGTCTGTCTTAAACAATGGAGTGAACTACCCTGCTGCTGTTACATGACGTTTATTCCAGAACACATGTACGGACTCAAGAGGACAGCTGCTAAACCAGCCGCTCAACAAAGTGGTCAATCAATCTCCTTTCCTCATCGTCCTAAATACCCAGAATACACCGCGAGTTCAAATGGTGCGTTCACGTTCCTGACCAGGATGTCCCGAAGGGGAAGGAAAAGTCTTACACGTTTCAAAAAGGGTTCAAAAGAATTTTTTTAAGAGGTTTTCAAAGATTTTCATTCATTTTTATGAAATATTGTTTCTGGAAATGCTGAGATAGTGGTCTACAAAGACAGTTAAAAATATTGGAGAAGTAGTTTTATAAAACCTTGAGAAAGTTCCACACGTCGGCTGTAACTTCTTGTGAAATGAGGCATAACATTTGTGAGCAGAAATACAGAAGGGAAAACATAACTTATATATATATATATATATATATATATATATATATATATATATATATATATATATATATATATATATATACATATATATATACATACATTTTTTAATGTTCCCAAAAACGTTATGAAACTAGTGTTATGAATTTTTTAAAGTATCAAAAAAGTTAAAAAAATAAAAAATATATCATACTACAGTATGTGTCATGATGACTAAAATATATCAAAACACCATTTTCTACCTTCGTTTGTTTATTTATTTTAAAACTAGTTATTACTAGTGATGGGAATTCCGGCTCTTTTTAGAGAGCCGGTTCTTTTGGCTCGGCTCACCAAAAAGAGCCGGCTCTTTCGGCTCCCAAGTGGCTCCTCAGATTTTCTGTTGCGTAGAGTACATTTATAACCAAAATAATGCTAAACTATATGCAAAATAATTTACTAATGTAAAAAAAGCAATATATCAAATATTTATCATTCCTATGGATTTAATAACTGAACACTTTAAGAAATCTCCACTTTCCGACTGCTGGCGCTCATTTTCTCACCGTCTTCGTCGCGCTCTTCTCTCTCTCGCTCGCCTTTTTCCTCCTCCTCATTCCCTCTCGTCTCCCTCCTCCCACATGTGCTCTGCTGTGTGACTGAGTATGATCCTCCCTCTTCCCCGCCCCTACTGCTCTGTGTGTGGACAGTCTGGACACACAGTTACACATGTTGATCAATCGCCTGTAGCTTTCACCAAGGCGGGGGGGAGGGGGGGAGGGGAGGGGACGGCTCCCAATGACGAGCCGGCTCCCGTCGTTCACTTCAAAGAGCCGGCTTTTAGAGCCGATTCGTTCACGACCGACACATCACTAGTTATTACATTTTACTTTTCTTCAATTTTGCCCTTTAAACCACATTTATAAATTGCATGTGTAGCGGCTTCTTTCCATAGAAAACGCCGCTGTGGGTGAGTGGGCCAGGCTGTGACGCGTCTTCCAACAAACCATTCTGAATCATCTTATTTGTTTTATTTGGTTTGTGGTTAAAATACATAGGTTGGGATAAATTAATTGGCTTCTGTTCCACTCTGCGTTTGTCGAGGCGGCTGTTGCTAGCTGTGGTCGTAAGGTGGCCGGTGCCAGTCGTGGTGGCAACCCCCGTACCCGCTGGTGGACACCAGAGGTTCGGGGAGCCGTCAGGCTGAAGAAGGAGGCCTACAGGGCGTGGCTGGTCTGTGGGTCTCCGGAGGCAGCAGACAGGTACCGGATAGCCAAGCGGGGTGCAGCAGTGGCAGTTGCCGAGGCAAAATCTCGGGCGTGGGAGGAGTTTGGTGAGGCCATGGAGAAAGACTATCGATCGGCTCCAAAGAGGTTCTGGCAAACTGTCCGGCGCCTCAGGAGAGGAAGGCAGCAACTCGCTCACACTGTTTACAGTGGGGATGGGGAGCTGCTGACGTCAACTGAGGCTATAGTCGGACGGTGGAAGGAATACTTTGAGGAGCTCCTCAATCCCACCAATGCGCATTCCGAGGAGGAACCAGAGCTGGGAGGCCTGGGGATGGACTGTCCGATCTCGAGGGCAGAAGTTGCTGAGGTAGTCAAACAACTACACAGCGGCGGAGCCCCGGGGGCGGATGAGGTTCGTCCTGGGTATCTCAAGGCTATGGATGTTGTAGGGCTGTTGTGGTTGACACGTCTCTACAACATTGCGTGGTCATCGGGGGCAGTTCCTAGGGAGTGGCAGACCGGGGTGGTGGTCCCCATCTTTAAGAAGGGTGACCTGAGGGTGTGTTCCAACTATAGGGGGATCACACTCCTCAGCCTCCCTGGAAAGGTCTACTCCAAGGTACTGGAGAGGAGGGTCCGATCGATAGTTGAATCTCAGATAGAGGAGGAGCAATGTGGTTTTCGTCCTGGCCGTGGAACTGTGGACCAGCTCTATACCCTTGCAAGGGTGATGGAGGGGGCATGGGAGTTTGCCCAACCAATCCACATGTGCTTTGTGGATTTGGAGAAGGCTTATGACCGTGTCCCCAGGGGCACCCTGTGGGGGACGCTCCAGGAGTATGGGGTGGGTGGCTTTCTGTTAAGGGCCATTCAGTCCCTTTACCAGAGGAGCGTGAGTTTGGTCCGCATAGCCGGTAGTAAGTCGGACCTGTTCCCAGTGAGGGTTGGACTCCGCCAGGGCTGCCCTTTGTCACCGGTTCTGTTCATCACATTTATGGACAGAATTTCTAGACGCAGCCGTGGTGTGGAGTGTGTCGAGTTTGGTGGCAGGAGAATCTCGTCTCTGCTTTTTGCGGATGATGTGGTCCTCCTAGCTTCATCCAGCTCTGACCTTCAGCTCTTGCTGGGTAGGTTCGCGGCCGAATGTGAAGCGGCTGGGATGAGGATCAGCACCTCCAAATCTGAGACCATGGTTCTCGACCGGAAAAGGGTGGCTTGCCACCTCCGGGTCGGGGGAGAGGTCCTACCTCAAGTGGAGGAGTTTAAGTATCTCGGGGTCTTGTTCACGAGTGAGGGTAGGAGGGATCGGGAGATCGACAGGCGGATTGGTTCGGCGTCTGCAGTGATGCGGACGCTGAGCCGATCTGTCGTGGGGAAGAGGGAGCTGAGCCAGAAAGCCAGGCTCTCGATTTACCGGTCGATCTACGTCCCAATCCTCACCTATGGTCATGAGCTTTGGGTAATGACCGAAAGAACGAGATCGCGGATACAAGCGGCCGAAATGAGTTTCCTCCGTAGGGTGGCCGGGCTCAGCCTTAGAGATAGGGTGAGGAGCTCGGACATTCGGGAAGGACTCGGAGTAGAACCGCTGCTCCTCCGGATCGAAAGGAGCCAGTTGAGGTGGTTTGGGCATCTGGTCAGGATGCCTCCTGGACGCCTCCCTGGGGAGGTGTTTCGGGCATGTCCTGCCGGCAGAAGGCCCCCGGGTCGACCCAGGACACGTTGGAGAAGTTACATCTCCAATCTGGTCCGGGAACGCCTTGGGGTCCTGCCGGAGGAGCTGGTGGACAAGGCCGGGGAGAGGACGGCCTGGAGCTCCCTAGTTGGGATGCTGCCCCCGCGACCCGGACCCGGATAAGCGGAGGAAGACGAGACGAGACGAGACGAGGCTTCTGTTATATTAAATGGTTTAAAGTAACATTGATAACGACGGTCAACAGAAAAGTTTTCATGACAACCGCTCACTGACCAGTTGGACGTTCAACTGATAGATAAGAGGTAGTTGGTGGATGAAAAGTCCATTTTATGTTCTTTTGGAGAGGCGTATTGTGTATACGACTTTGATTCCATCCTTGTATCATTTCCTTTAGCTCACGATAGGCTCCAACAAAATTGGTGCCATTGTCAGATCTTAGTTCTTTCACTTGACCTCGTCTGGCGATAAAGTGGCGAAGGGCATTGATAAATGGATCTGTATCCACTGATTATGCTGTCTCTATGCGAATAACTCTTGATGCCAAACATGTGAATGTCACACCATAGCCTTTTACAGGGGTTCGTCCCCACTTTACTGGAAAAGGTCCAAAATAATCAACCCCAACATAGGTGAAAGGTGGTCTATCAGTTGTTACCCTATGCAAGGGCTAATCTGCCATCTGCTGGTGTCCTGGTGAAGCATGTATGTGTCGACACACAACACAATTCTACAATTCTTCTGATTGGTACTGTAACGCCTGGAATCCAGTACTTTTGGCGCACTTTGGCGAGCATGTGATTGCGGCCTCCATGACCCACCTCTTTATGGATATGTTGTAGAATTAGATTTCCAATGTGAGAGTCTTTGGCCAGAATCACAGGATGTTTAATCTCATCTGGCATGGATGCTCTGTGTAGTCGCCCGCCAACTCTCAATATGCCTTCTTTCAAAATTGGATTGAGTTTGCGAATATGACTGGTTCCTTTAACATTGTTTTCGTTTGTTAAGCAGGAAATTTCGTCTCCAAAATCTTTCTTTTGACATAAGGAGATTATGGCGGTTCCAGCATTGTCCAGTTCTTGAACTGTCAGATTGTTTGTGAGCATAAGCCTTTCATTGTTTGCTTGTCCATCATGTTTTTGTTCAGAACTGCTTTTGGTTTGCATTCTTCTTCTACTGTTGTATAAAAGCAGTTCTTTAACTCTTAGGATCCATGCTACTGCTCGTTTCAAATTAGCCCAAGATGAGAAATGTTGAATGAAACAAGAAACGGGTTCTATTTCTCTTGATGCTTGAACAGCGTTCACAGTTGTCTATATTTCAGCATCATGTGATGAGATCTCTTCAACTTAATCGGGGTTATGAGGCCATTCCTCTTGTGGTAACAGGAGAAACGAAGGTCCAGACAACCATGTCCTTTTATTCTTTTCTAACGATGTAACGGTCATACCTCGAGAAGCCAAATCTGCTGGGTTGCTTTCTGTTTGTCTCCATTGTTGAGCATTTGAAACCCTGGTGATTTTGGAAACTCTGTTGGCAACAAAGGTGAGGAATCGTGTTGTTTTATTGTTTATGTATTTTAGCACCGAGGTGCTATCAGTCCAAAATACTGAATCCGTCAGTTCCATTTGGAGCTCCTTTTTCCACATCACATCCATTCTGCTTGCTACAGTAGCAGCAGTCAGTTCCATTCGTGGAATTGTAATCTGTTTCAACGGAGCCACACGAGATTTTCCCATGATGAATACGCTGTGGGTTTGGTTCCGATCATCTTTAACAAGTAAATATGTTACTGTTCCGTAGCCGTCCTCGGATGCAT